ATTAGATTTTTATATTTATTTTATTTATTTATTTACATATTATTACCTTATTTTTCATCTTCTTTGTCTTCTTTTACTTCATTTTCATTTTTAATCTTAAAAATTCTTCTTTTGATATGTAATTTCATATCAAAAAATTGACAATTTACTTTTTTTAGTCCCCTAAAATTTATAAATGATACTCGACCTTGGGTTCTTTAGATTCTTATATTATATATATATATATATATATATTTAGATTCTTATATTATATATATATATATATATATTATTAGATTTTTATATTTTCTAATATATTTATTTACAAATTACTTCATATATATATATATATAGCTCATGTTGATCCGTCTTTTACAGCTCATGTTGATCCATCTTTTACTGTTGAAAGACCCCTTACACGTAGCTATTCGAACGCATCATCATTTGTTGACTTGAATGAAATAAGCTACCAGGAACCAGCAATACATAGTTCGTTCGTCAGCAATAATTATAATGCGCATCCATATATTAATCAATTTCCTGAAATGTTTCACCCTTACATCAGACATGTACATGATGTGAGAGGTGATGGAAACTGTGGATTTCGAGCAATARYTGTCCACCTTGGTCTTCATGAAGATGCATGDCCAACAATTCGGTATAACTTGATGGAAGAGTTAGACGCATACAAGACAGAATACCTCAACATATTTGGAAGTCAATATTGGAATATAGTTTACAATATTTTAAACTTCTTTCAATTAGATCGAGGTGCCCCAGTTAAACATTGGATGAYCATGHCTDAAATTGGTGTCCTGATTGCTTCAAAGTATAATGTGCTCTTACACGTTATAGACATTACAGGTTGTTCAACATACTTACCGCTTAGGTCTACTCCCCCACCATGGTATCAACATGTAAGTTTTGCAATTGGGTACGTTAACCGTAACCATTATGTGAAACTAGACTTGGAAGAAGGATACCCGATCCCTACTATTACTCCACATTTTTTTCATTTCTGCTATCCGTGT